TGACCAACACACCGACAGACATCTTTCTAAAAATAATTCAGTTACACTTCTCTAGTAGGAAGAAATATATTTCCGTCGACAACGTCGACCTGTAAAGTCCAGTGTAATCACATAACCTTCCTTATTATATGTACCAATCGATACAAATAGTACTAATCGATATGAATATCGTATAGTGTGGACAAAAATTTGACACCTTCCCAAAGTGGTGTAATTATGTAAACACCCAACTTTAAAAGAAATTATAATCACAATTTTCAATGTTATTGAATAAATTCACTAAAAATTTAATCTTAGTTGTGATTTATTCAATTTTATCGCATAACTAACCTTTATCTGTTCATATCTATTTAAATTTATTATAGCGTTTACATACTTATTAAATCTTAACCAACTATTAAATAATATTTGTATATTATGTACATTTGTGTATGTATAAGCTTATGAAATAATGACCTTATAAGTGCAGTTATAAATATGTGTATGTATAAATATATATAATTATTAAAAATATAATAATATGACAAATATAATTATGAGTACATATACAATCCAGTTTTTTTTTGCTTGCCATACAAAATGCAAGTTTTAATGTAGACAAATAGAAAAAAAAATGAATAATTTTTCTTTTACCGCCACTTTGAAGTGACACACAAATTTGTACAAATTTATAGACTGCAGTATAATTTTTATTTTTCTTGCTTTTTCATATACATACATACATATGTAATGTAAAAATTACAGTGCAGTTATAAAATAAATCTCCTGCATTATTGTGGGAAATTTAATTTGTTAATAAAAAAAGTTGCTTTCCTGGAAATTCTTAGGTTTTGTTGGAAATTTAATTTGTTAATGAAAAAAGTTGCTTTCCTGGAAATTCTTAGGTTTTGTTGGAAATTTAATTTGTTAATGAAAAAAGTTGCTTTCCTGGAAATTCTTAGGTTTTGTTTTAATAGCACTGAAATAATTGAATAGGTCCTTTTTTAGTAAATTTCCAGCGAAGTTGTCGGTTCTCCTTACATTTTCCATCTCGTCTCTGTACGGTGCTCTTTACATCCTTTCCAAAATTCTATACCCCGTTCAAAATAGAAATATATGTAGTTACATTTCATACACAAATTAATCTTTGTTGCAAACCACTCGAAGAAAATTTCTTACAGCCTCTCTCTCTTAAAATTTTCGTATGCTTTTTCTCTTTTAAAAGGTCTCATAGGAAAACGTCACATTATCTTGAATATGACGTGTTTCTTATCTTGATCTTTTATCAGGTGATATATTAAACAGAAATTTTATATTTTATAGATATGTACACACATACATTTATACGATAAAAAAAATTATTAATTTCTTTTGAACAAAGTTTTATAAAATCGCAGTTAAATTCTGACGACTACTGCTAATATTGCTTTGCAGTGCGCGAAAATTTATAATAAAAAATTACTTTTAACTTATTATTTACCAAACTTACATATTTATTATCAATATATGTATATAATACAAATGTATATATATATGTATGTGTAATTTATATTACAGTAATGTTTATATATATATTAAATAATGAACTGACTTTAATGTCAATTTCAAAGGAAAATTTACCAATGAATTCTTAAAATCAAATATTTGCAATTCTATTGAATTTTCAGTGGTTGTTATTTTTTATGTCGAATGCAATTAAGAAAATTCTATAGTATGTAAATTTTTTGTATATATGCACATATATTTGTAACTAGAATGTATAAATACAGGAAAATATTTATTTAGTGGGATTGTGCTAAGGTCAAGAATAGTAAATAATTGATAATAAGATAATAAAGGTAATTTTATTCAAGCGATTTGAAAAAAAAAAGAAAATTTTTTTAAATAAGTATGTAGATCAGAATTGTATTGTTAGTAGTTGATGTCAAGAAGACATTTGACACAATAGATCATAAGTTGGTATAAAGGGCAAGGAACACGAATGGCTCAGCAGTTGCTTCTCAAATAGAACGCAGTATACGGAGTGTGGTCGTGTTAGAAGTAAGTTAAATAATATTAATTTTGATGTAATACAGGAATTTTTTTAGGAACTGTTTTTCTTACTAAATCAGCAACCTCATAAATTTAAAGGTGCATTGAAAACCATTTACATTTGAGATGAACTTGCGATTGTTTATTCCTCGGCATTCACTTTAAAAATTTGGGGGGAAGATGTAAATGAGAACTTATGAAAAGTAAATGGCGGGATGTAGTTGCATAAGTTCCTTATATCATTACTAGAAAGATCAATTTTTTTGATGATTTTCTAAAAGAAACTAACAGATATTATCGTCATAAATTACAATGGTACAAAATGACAAATTGGTAACAATTATAAGTCTCTCTATAAGGAGTTATAATAGATAATAAATTAAAGTGGAGAGATCAGATAAATATGCAGCTAGAGAAATCTAGGAAAATTACTGGAATATTCAATTAAATAAATAAAAGAGTATCATTTTATAAAAAAGCAGGCCTTCATATCTTATTTTCTTGTTATAGGTGAATAAATTATTTATATATAATTTATCATTTCAATTTCAACATGCCGACGTCACACAGAAATCACGTATAATCCTCGGTTTGTGAATGGTCTCACAATAGAAGGGAGATTTTAGGTGGTTTGGCCTATAAAAAATTTAAATTTGTTGACAAAGTATACGAGTATGTAAGAAAGGTTATCTGGTACTAAATCGGCACGTATAATAAATTCTATTCAATTTTTTGGTTCGAATTGTGCTGTCACGTCAACATCGCAATCTTATATTACCTTAATGAAAATATTAAGAGTGTGAGGCTATCCACTGAAATAAATATGTTCAAGTATTTCTGTCAACTATCTTGCGAATTAAACGTACATATATTTGAATTCTTGAGAATTTTTTTTTCAATAGGTGAATATAAACAATCCCTTCAAAAATCTATGATTTATAATTTTTTTCATGAGTGCTTTTTAATCCTCTTAAATTGGTGGATAATAAAAAATCGTTTTGAATTAAACCCTATACGAGTACTTGAGTGTTAATACAAATGTAAACAAAAGTAATAAATTTCTCTGTCACTTATTATAAAGTACTCGAAAAGTGTACGCGAAATTTGTGAAAGCAATTTGCGGTTATAAGTAAAATGCCGAATATACCAAATCCCGGTAAGGTAACCATCGAAATTTGCTAAATTTTATAGAATGAAAGTATGTCTTAAATGTTATTGACGCAATTCTAATAAGGATTAAATATTTAAAATTAAATTATGGTTTCTTCATTTTGACAAAATGGTGAGAGTCAATGCAGATTTCAATTTTATAGAATTACTTTATGTACTTATAACAATTTTGGTATTTAAATGGAAATTGTGGAATATCTAAAAATGAAAATATAAGTATGAATGTATGATGTTACGTCTAGACTGAATTATATTTTTCGCATCAATTATTTATTGATCATCTTTTGAACTATAAGTGTACATACATTTCAAATTTTAACTTTACAATTTGGATCTAATTTTTCTTTGATGTTTTTTTTTTATTTCTAAATTTTATTTTTATTAATTTTCCTTCTTATTATTCATTAGTTCTTAGAATTTATTTAGCTATTGTTATTAACAAATATTAAATTGCAAAATTTTGAGTTTTTATTATAATTGTTATAACACCTTCCATTTTTTTCTTATTTTACTGTTGATTAAACAGAAATTGAGTTATCCTTTGAAAAAGAGGAAAAAATAACAAAATTATTCTTTCATCTTTGTTATTATGGTCTTTTGAATTGGTCGAATATTTAAATTTAAATAAATTTTTAATAAGAACGATTTGGGACTCTTCGTTTAAAATACTTATTAACCCATTCAGTCCTTTTAAACAATATCATATTTTTCCAAAAAATCATAGAAATTATATCAAAATGTAAATCCTTTGATTTTTCTATAAAACATTATGTAAATGATTGTTTTTCGTAATATAATGGATAAAAATTGCTTAAGCCCAAATGGGTTAATATATATGCATATATAATAAAATAAAATATTCTTTTCTTTTAATTTGCTAACATTTTGCACAAATGTTATAGTAACAAATTAATTTAAACAAATAAATTTAATAAATTGCAAGTCATGTATCTTAATATAAGTTCGCAGCAGTCAAATTTCATACGAACTTTAGTCGAGGATGTAATTATATATTTCAACAAAATTACATATATATTCGACATTGTATACCAAATTCAATTGGCAGTTCGGATATGCAACTCGCAACCATCATTTCATTTCACGGGTATCATAAAGTCAACAGGAAGTCAACTTAAGATATTCTCACTTTTTTATATTTTCTCATTCTGGCTTATTCACACTATTATTTATTGTAAAAACAAAACTAAAGCAGTGAACGGCAACGGCGGATGATTTCTGTCGTTAACAGGCGAGATGTCAAAATCAACTGTTCAGTATTTTTGCATATACATAACACCATACACGCATGGAAATAGATGATGCCAAAAAAAATTGGCAGTCGTAAAATAGGAATTAAGACTATTGTACAGCCAGTAATCAAATTGGCCTGATTCTGGGCAATCTCATTTATATGTGTATGTAAGTGTATTATGTTTGAATTTTGACATTTCGTCGTGAATAATGATTCTTATTCTGTTTTCAACTTGTATTTGATTGCATCCATTAAAAGCGACATTTTTTTAAAACAATTTGATGAATCTGTAGGCGAATCTTTTGGCCGTGATGGAATTTTTTTTTTTTGTAAATCTCAAAGTGTTTTCATATAAAATACATTTTTTAAGACAACACCTACAATGATTGTAAAATAATTTACGATTGAAAAACTTTTCAAATAATTTTTGTTTTTTTTGTATATAAGAGATCGACTTGACCATTTAATTTTATATTTTTCATTGTTCAATTATTTTAATAAATAGCGGTATTTTAATACAAAACGGTAGCATAAATTTTTAATAGAAAATTTTTTTTTAAAGTCTTACCTGTCATTACATTCAACATGCTTTAATTTTTTTCCTCTTTCAACCTCCTTCATCATATCTGACCAGTCTGGTCTCTTCCTTGGTCTTGACCTTTAATAAAAGAAAACATAATTCACAACATTTAAAATAAACAAACAACCATAACCAAACAAAAAGAAAACATAATTTTGAAAAATTCCAAAAATATCGGCACTCTTTGCTTTTTGCAAAGAGAATTGATAAAAATATAAAAAATTTTTTATATTTAGAAAGCAAACATTATTAAATTTTTTTTTATACGTTGTGGTATGATTTCTTTTATCAAAATTATAAAAAAAAAGTTTTCAACATTAAATTTTAATGCCAGTCAAGATTTAAAGATTTTTTTTTTGTTTTTCATTCATTTTCTTGTATTTATTTGGTTAAACTTTTTCAATTCATTGATTTGTATTGAATTTGTTGATAAGGAAAAAGTAATTTGGAAATTTTATTCAAAAAAAAAAATCTTTAATAAAAATAACGATTATTGTGTCATGAGGATTCAAAATGCAAATAATATTATGGTCAAGAGAGGATGGATGAGAAAATAAATGAAAAATGTTATTCTAAACGGTTGATATTATGATGCTCCGTTTTAAGATGTACTAGAGTTTCTTTAGAGCTAAAGCTTGCGATTGCAATGTAAACAATTGTTCGATTATTGATGACCCATACGATTTTAATTCTTTATAAAGCAGTAAGCGATGAATTGGTTATTGAAGCTATTGAGTTGAACTGAGTTATTGATGACAGATGAATTATGATTTTCATAAATGACAAGACAAATTTAATCTGCTGAAGTGAGCTGTAAAAATTTAAACATTAATGGGAATTCACATAGTAACGTCTTGATTTACAAAAAAAATTACTCCATTTTGACTATTGTATTCGTACTTAAACTAGTATTTATTCGGAATAGTGAAATTAGATATAACTTTTTAAATTTGGATAAAATAATAGAACTCATACATAAATGTCTAGAATATTTTTAGAAATAGAATTTAGTAACTTTTACAAGATATTGGCCACTGTTGTTGTTGGATATAACGCCGCATCAATGATAATCTTTGAAGTTTAGTTCGGGGTATAAAGTCAGTAAGTAGTCATCAAATGCCATACATATCTAGGCACAAACGAATCTTAAGGAGAAATTAATTATAAAATATATTTTAAGAGTGTAGATATAACCGCAGAAACTAATGATGTAAGGAAACTAAGGAAATAAGTTTAAAAGCAAAAAAATTAAAAAAAAATCCTGTTAAAAACAAACTAAATTCAAACCAGTGACTTCCAGATTTCTGAGTAAGTGATTTATCAGCCGGTTTTTTCTCCAACTCTTTGTTTGTTCTTCAAATCAAAATTTTTGGTCTGATGAAACAGATTTATAGTAATCGTTTCTTTGTTTAACTCCTTTAGCTCTTTTTTTATACCCTGCACTTCGTGAAGGGTATATTAACTTTGGTATGGAGTTTGTAACTACTTGAAGGAGTCATCTGCGGTATGGACATATATATATATTCTTGCTCAGCGTAAAATTCTGCGTCGATTTAGACATGTCCGTCCGTCCGTCCGTCCGTCCGTCCGTCCGATCGCACGATAACTCAAAAACGAATAATGCAATCGACACCAAACTTTCACAAGTTGTTTCTTTTGTGCCAAGGACGAACCCTATTGTTATTGGACTAATTCCGACAACGAGTTCGGGTAGCTGCCATACAACTCAAAGAGTTTATTTTAAATATTTCAAAAACTAATAAAGGTACAAATATAAAATTTTGTATACATGTGTCCAATTATATTCTACATATGCTCTAAAAATTATAATGGGATAGCTGCACCGGTTCGGGTGGCTGCCATACAACTCCAAAAGCAAATTTTTTATATTCGGCAAAATAATAAAGTCAGATTCATGAAACTTGGCAGTCATGTGTCCAATTATAGGTCAGATATATTTCTGAAGTTTTAGTGGAATTGCTCTACAGGTTCGGGTACCTGCCATACAATTCCAGAAACTAATTTTAAATATTTGGAAGAATAATAAAGTCAGATTCATGAAACTTGGCAGTTGTGTGTCCAATTATAGGTCAAAGATATTTCTGAAGTTTTGGTGGAATCCCTTGACAGGTTCGAGTGGCTCCCATACAAGCCCAAAAGCTTATTTTAAATATTTGGAAAAATAATAAAGCCAGATTCATAAAACTTGGCAATCGTGTGTCCAATTATAGGTCAAAGATATTTCTGAAGTTTTGGTGGAATTGCTTGGTAGGTTCGAGAAGCTCCCATACAAGTCCAAAAGCTTATTTTAAATATTTGGAAAAATAAAAAAGTTAGATTCATGAAACTTAGCAGTTGTGTGTCCAATTATAGATCAGATATATTTGCGAAGTTTTAGTGAAATTGCTTGACAGGTTCGGGTAGCTGCCACACAACTCAAAAAGTTTATTTTAAATATTTCAAAAACTAATAAAGGTACAAATATAAAATTTTGTATACATGTGTCCAATTATATTCTATATATGCTCTAAAAATTTTAATGCGATAGCTGCACCGGTTCGGGTGGCTGCCATACAACTCCAAAAGCTAATTTTAAATATTTGGAAAAATAATAAAGTCAGATTCATGAAACTTGGCAGTTGTGTGTCTGTTATAGGCCAAACATATCCGTAAAGTTTCTATAGAATGGTTTCACAGGTTTGAGTAATTGCTATACAACAACGAAAGGTGCAGGGTATAATTCAATCGGTTTATACCGACTGAAACGTTTTTACTTGTTTATTTTTAATGAAAGCACTGATTTTTTTTTATATCTTGGGCACTCGTTTATCTTAAGAATTTTAATATTTTGTTTGACAAGAATTTTTAGTAAGTTTGGTGTAGGGGCTTTTTTTTTTTTTGAAAAAGATAAAATGAAATTCTTATTAAAATCCTTCGGTCTGTTAAGTTTCCGAAAAAAAAAGTAATAAAAATAAAAATAGAAATAAAAACTTTACAGGACCTAAAAAGAAATGCTTTGCATTAATGAGGGTGGGTTTAAAATAAATATTTTTTTGAAAGATCTTTTTTTTTTCTCTAAACTTTTTAATTTCATTTATTGAAAATAACTTTGAAATTTTTTTTTTCTTATATAGGTAAATTTTATATTTTATTTTTTTAAAAAGTAAGAAAATCTAAAAGAAGTGTATGAAACGAAAAAAATGCGATTTTGTGAGGAGAATTAGAATTATTTCTTTTTGGCCTAGATAATATTTAAAAACGTGTTTTCAATTTTAATTGACCTTCTTTGCCCTTTATTTTTCTATTTTTTATTCAATAAATCAGTCTTCTGTTCTATAACCAAATTTCACGATTTCTTATTTAAACTTCTGATAACTTGTGCAACATTGTAATGGGGTGACTTGTAAGACACAGGTTATTTAAAAAATTTTCAATTTTGCTTCATTCATACTAAATTTTTAGTATCATACAGTAGTATCAATACGTAATATTAAAGGTAGTTGGAACTGATCAATTATAGTAATTCGTTCCACTCTTATTGGATATATATTTTCTCATAATGCAAGAAATATTGGTGTATGTTATAGATTACAATTAAAATACTCCATTCTTCATAACATAAGAGAGATTAATTTGAGCATAACAGTCTTTATATATATATGGACAACAAATTGGTGTTAAATAATAATAGACTAATCAAGATAATTTAGATCAATTAAAAATACATAATACGTTATATGTACGAAAAATTATTAATATATTTGTTGCCTTTAGGCGAAAGAAAAAATAAAAAAATATTAAAAATTGTATAAGAACGCCCAACTTCAAGTACAATTAAAAAAATCTGTTTTTTTGTTTTTTAAAATTAACCAACACCTAATAGAAATATTGCATCATTTAAGTTCCAAGAAACATTTATTATCTTAAATGTATTTAAGAATAACATTTTAAGCTTTCGGGCATTGTTTCATATTGCATAGAAAATAATCATTTCAATCACGTATCCACATACATAAGTATAAGAATTTCTTGTGGGTTATACGATAAAAGAGTTTTCTTTATCTAATCAATATGTGATTTAAATTTTAAAATACAGGGTGATCGAGTGAGTCGACAACGATTACAACGTTAGGAACATTAAATTATTTTGAGTATCGAATTACTGAAAGGTAGACGCAAATCATTTTATACAAATGATTCATGTTTATGGTGATATTTTTGGAATTTTTACGATATCACTATCACTTAGTGATTTGATTTAGAGCACAAACATTGGAATATTAATTTCATGCTCTTAATCTTATAATAATAAGGTAAACGTATGAAACAGAAACAACTAATGTTTATATCATCACCCTGTATTGCATAACAAATGCAATTTAATTCTAAATATAAAGTAGTTAAGGTGTTAAGTACGCTAGAGGTGCTTTTTAAAAGTGTTTTTGTATAAACATAACACCATTTTAACCTCAGAAAATTTACAATAAAATTTACAATAGCTAATTTATGAAAATGGAGTGCCCATTTGGCGATTATCTATTTTTTTGGTGAATTTCTTTAATTTATTTTAATTAATCGGTATAAAATGTAAGTTACCAAATTTGCTAATATAGTAAAATTAATTTTGTTCATTGATTGCATTATTTCAATAAATTTTTGGCTTGATTTCATGCTACTTGTATTTTTTGGTCATTGCTCGGTTTAAGTACTCGTACTTGTTTTATATTAGAAATTAGAAAGTTGTAATTATTTCTACTTATATTAATTTTGTAAATAAAATATTCGGTTGAGTGAAGCAAAAATGTAGTAAATGACGAAATAAACAAAAAAGTATACTGAGAGTAAATTTTCAAATAAAACGTTTAAATATAGAGCATGTCGTAATTAGGTTTTACTTTTCATATTCTAAGTAAAATTCGTTAAAAACTAAAAAAAAGAAATTGAATTCTTGTAACGTAAATTATGTGTAACGTAAAAAATTTCAGCTATATTAAGATTTTTATTAATTTACCGGCCTTGTCATTTATTGAAGCTTTGCCTATGTTATAACATTTCATGTTAATCTGTTGAATATTTTC